AACTGCTGTGTGATCTGCCGACAATAATTATTACATAAGCAGTAATACCTCCAGTAATAACCACAGGTGTGTAATATTTGTCAAGTGATCCACCAGCAGTAACTACTACACGGAGAGTAATACTTCCAGTAATAACTATACACACCTGGCAGTCGGTCTTTTCCGTAAGGGGTTCATTAGTAAAAACAAAATATACTGTTCGTTCATGTAATCCCGAGTGCGGATGAAACTTACAATTATACAAAAACAAAGTATAAAACAAGCTTATTTATATCAAGCAAATATGTTACAAATTGATGCTAGGTCGATAATGTAATTTTCGAAAATTTTTTCGTTTTTCATATGAAACTGTTCCATCTGCTCCATCATGCATTTATATTTTAATTCTTATAGACTTGGAAATTCTTTTCCAAATCTATAAAAGCAATACATATCTGTACAAACCTGTACAAAAATAATTGTTTCAGTAAAACAGACGACTTTAGGATTCCTTTAAACGTCATACTATTGATTCAGAAGTAAACAATAAATTCATATATTCATAATTTACATTATCTAATATGAAAAACAAGGAATAGTTAAACAATTACAAATATTTTTAAATAAATATTTAAATTTTAAAACATTAATATTATGTATTATTTATATTTTATATATCAATTTTAATAAAACGAAAAATATACAAAATAATATAAAAAATAATTTTTTTATTTTATCTTTAGATAAATTATTTTTTTAAGAAACTATATAAAAATTTTTGGTAATATTTCAATTAAGTAAAAACAATTTGGAAAATTATTTATGTAAAAGGCCGTAGCCGGATAAGGAGGGGCAATCTGCCCCCCGCGCCGATCACAACTATTTTTTACAGTTTAGTTGCTATCAATATCAGTTACAATTTTACCAAACATTAGTCCTTAATATTCAACCGTTGGGGTGTGAGAAATAAAAATCAAACTTTCAAAAAAAATTATATCTCTTAAGCAGCTCAATCAATTTTTATTAAAAAAAATATATGTTGTAGATGTAGACAAGATACATTTGTAAAAAAATTTCGAAGATTTTTTAAGACCAGAAACATTGCAAAAAAAATAAAATATTTTTATTTATTTTTTTTAGCTATCTTATCGATCTTGTACCACCACAAAAATGTTGCCGTAAAATTATTAGATGCTATTCTATAACATATAATTTTTTCGAATTTTTGAAATGGGTACTTGATACTTAAAAAAAAAATTTTCTTTTCCAATTTTTTTAACCATCTCGTCGATCCAATACCATTACGAAAATTTTTTTTGTGTAATTGTTGGATACTATTTTACAACATATATTTTTTTCAAATTTTTGAAATGGGTACTTGGTACTTAAAAAAAATATTCTTTTCCTGATTTTTTTAAATCATCTTATC